AATCCAGATTGCAAAATCACACTGAAGTCCAAGTAGTCAAAGCCAGAGCAGATAGCACAATGGAACCGAGTAACCATCCATTTGAGAATGATACAGAAGAATTGTGAGTCAATGTCCAAGCCCAACAGGGCAACACCAACAGCATAACCCAATGTAGCTCTCTCTCTGAATGGCGCCAGGCGCCCTACCTACTCTACAGCCTATCACTACAACTACAGTATGAAGTAACCAGACAACTTGACGACGACCAGCGAGTGATGATGTCAACACCAATGCCGACCTCCACCTCCACCAGGTACGTCTCCTCCTTCACCCACACAGCGCCCTTCACCTCCGAAGAACCACCTTCGCCCTCACCTCCCCTGCGCCCTCAGGCAGCCCGGCTATGGCCACCAGCGCCCTGCGCACACAGGCAGCGCCCTACCGCGTTAGCGCTAGCCTGCTCCCTCAGCCTTAGCACAACACAGCAGCTCGCGTTCGAGCAGCATGCCGACAATGCCCGCACTGGCCACGATCCCTGCCCACTCGCCCTGCTTGCCTATATGCCAGTGTTGCGTGTGGGCGGCCTCCCTTCAGCCTGCGACTGGGCCCCAGTGCCTGAACCCAGGCCCGATGCAGTTGGGGCCCGGCTGATGCAGTTGCGCCTCTTTCGTCAACGCCTACGACCAGATTCAGATAGTGGGCCGATTTCCCTTTGGCATTTTCGGCCTCTATACCCAACATGCATTGTCGGCCTCACGTTCAAGTGCCCAGGGCCTAACTAACTCAGAGGCCCTGGGATCTCCACATTTGCAGAGATTCAAGACTCGGTGCATTCCAACCAACTGGCGTGCTGCAACTGTATGAACCCCACTTCGTGACATGTTTGTACAGAGGGCTCTTGTTGATTTGCTGGCCCGCCTTCACTTAGGGCGGGCACTAGGCTTGCTGGGGCCTGGCAAGGCCCCTTCTTGAGGGCTCAATCCTCACAATATTCAAATATAACCTTGTATTCAAATCTTGATAGTATCAAATTATTGCGCATTTGAGGGCTCGTACTACCTAACTACGTGAATTTGCAGACGGGAAGGAGCGTAAATCCACGGGTTGTAGTTAGTCCGTCGCACACTCAAGGCCAGGATGCGAACTGGGTGCTCGAACTCCGAAGCTGCTGGTTGGAGGCAACACGCGGATTTGTACTCCAGCAAATGCTTTGCGTATGATATATTGCTAGAGTGGAGCCAATGGTGCAACGGGAAGCAAAGACGTCTCTTATTTGATATTTAAGGTTGAAGGATGATTCATATATCACAATTGACTCAACTCATTATCAGTGAAAACATAAGCCTACAGAGTCTTGACACGTAGGAAAGGTAGCTGGACTTGGGAAGGGTGCACATGGGATGAGGAAAAAAAAGAGAAGGATTTAAAAAACTTCACTCGACTGCATGAGTAGTGGAAGGAGCAATTGCCCAAAAACATGATGGGCGAACCGAGAATAAACGCTTGTTTGGACTTAGTTGAGCTACCACCCCCTACGTGAGGGTTGAGCTACATCCCGCAATGTCAAAGCTCTCTCGCTCGATGGCCTATCCCCTATCCATACCAACACACTAGGTAGGGATGGCCCGGGGATGAAACGCCTGCGGTCACAGGAAGACTGCAGGCGGAACCGAGGCGAATGAGACCCCCCTAATAAGGAGGTCGGCTCGAAAGTCCTTCTAAAGGGGCAATGCCCTACACCGGTGTAGGGCCCCACCCTGTTAGACTTTCGAGCGAGTCGACCCTTCAACGGATCCCAGTTGGCTCAGGCCCGCCCATGTGCACACCAAGGGCGTGGAGCGTTCGTCATAGGGTCACCCCCACCTAGTGCTATGAGATGGATGGGGGTAGGCCAACGAGCGAGATATCTTTGACATTGGGGATGTAGCTCAACCCTCATGCTAGGTGGGTGGTCTCGTTGATCCTCGACAAGCGTTCATTTTCAATACTTTATTGTGTTTTACAGGCAATTGCTCCTTCCAATGCTCAGGCAATCCAGGGGTTCATTGAGAGTTTGTCTTCTTTTATGCACAGGTCAAGCGTCCTCCTTGGGCCAAACATCCATTACCTACGTGCAGAGTTTAGCAACATCGGTGCTTACGCCTGTTGACTAAGTCTCGTGGCCCTTATCACATCACTAGGGGGCCCCATTGTTCCCGACCTCTTACCAATCTACATGCCCACATCCTACGCAGTTTGCACTAGTCATTAATTCACATATCTTGTTTCATTGCTTGTCTATACACCCCTTAGTCTTTTCGGGGGCCCAGCCACACACTCATGGGACTTTGTGGTCCTCTCATCCATCCAACATCCTTGTCGACACCCAATCATTCAGACCCTTCTTTCATTCACAGGGAAGCAAGACATGACAAAGGCTCATCCATGGGCGAGGGTTACGTTCACAACCCATTTTTGTGTCTTCCCCTTTTCGCAACCCGGTCTCACCTGGCGTCGTCTTGCACAAAGCACTTTAATGGGTTACTCACTTGCACACTCGATGCAAACGAACACAATCCAAGTTCTTTCACCGTTCGTTCCCTGACAATGTGACAAGCGAGCGGGGATGGGCTAGTTGCATGCCGAGATGAACAAGGGATGAAGGGTCTAGCTTAGAAAGTGAAGGTAGAGGAAGACAGTTGGCAGCTTGGCAGTCAAGAGAAAGAGAGAGAGAGAGAGAGAGAGAGAGAGAGAGAGAGAGAGAGAGAGAGAGAGAGAGAGAGAGAGAGAGAGAGAGAGAGAGCTTCTATGTACAATCCAAGGCCCCCCCTTTACTTAACCTATCTCTTTACCCAAGGGTCCCCCTTAGCCCCCGCAGTCCTATACTTCGTGTGCATGGTGGTGACCAGGTGATGGAGGTGGAGGAGGAATAAGGTGCAAGGTGGTTGGCTATGGCGGATGGGTGATGGAGGTGGACGAGGAAGAAAGTGCAAGGTGGTTAGCTATGGTGGATGAATGATGGAGGGTGAGGAAGGTGTAAGGTGCTTGGCTATGATGGATGAGTTATGGAGGTGGAGGAAGAAGAAGATGCAAGGTGGTTAGCTATGGCGGATGGTTGATGGAGGTGGAGGAGGAAAAAGGTGCAAGGCGGTTGGCTATGGTGTATGGGTGATGGAGGTGGAGGAGGAAAAGGGTGCAAGGTGGTTGGCTATGGAGGATGGGTGATGGAGGTGGAGGAGGAAGAAGGTGCAAGGTGGTTGGCTATGGTGGATGGGTGATGAAGATGGAGGAGAAAGGAGGTGCAAGGTGGTTTGCTATAGCGGATAGGTGATGGAGGCGGAGGAGGAAGGATGTGCAAGGTGTTAGGCTCTGGTGGATGGGTGATGGAGGTGGACGAGGAAAAAGGAGCAAGGTGGTTGGCTATGGTGGATGGGTGATGGAGGTGGAGGAGGAACAATGTGCAAGGTGGTTGGCTATGGCCGATGGGTTATGGGGGTGGAGGAGGAAGAAGGTGCAAGGTGGTTGGCTATGGCGGATGGGTGATGGAGGTGAAGTCGGAAGAAGGTGCAAGGCGGTTGGCTATTGCAGATGGGTGATGGAGGTGGAGGAGGAAGAATCTGGCATACTGCGCATCCACACAGGCCTGCAGGGCCCGACCAGACGGAAAATAAGGCCCCTCCAGGCCCTGTGTCGTTTCAGCCTAAAAGCCTAAAAAGGAGGGTCATTTTCAGTCCCTCATAAAGTCGACCTGTCCTGAAACTCAGGCGCCAGACCAGGGTTAAGCACATGCCATTTTTAGGCCCGTTTCAAGACAACCTTTGTTTGAACTTCAACGCCAGGGTCTGGCACGATTCGGCATAGGCAAGAGCAGACCAGCACTATATAGTACTTGTCCGCCCTGCAGGCTGCAGGCAGTTCACGGGGAGTTCACAGGCACTTCACATGCAGTTAAGGAGGCAGGAGGCAATCTTCAGGATTCGACTGCAGCACTCTGGAGGAGCGTTGCAGTAGTAGTAGCGAGCACTAGTAGTAGTCTTCGGCGCTGGGCGTTGTTAGGAGCTTAGAGTAGCGCTGGAGAGAGAGAGAGTTGGCGGAGGCCAGGGAGACTTACCTGTGGCGCCATATCTCCAGCTTCGTCTTTGATGTACCTGCAACAAGGCACCACCTTCACAGGTTAGTACCGGGATGAGAGAGAGAGAATTCTTCTTCTTCCTCTTCTAAGTCCACCATCTCTTCCTCACCCTCTCACCACCTGACTTCTCAATATCGATAGACTAAGAGAGAGAGAGAGAGAGAGAGAGAGAGAGAGAGAGAGAGAGAGAGAGAGAGAGAGAGAGAGAGAGAGAGAGAGAGAGAGA